CTGTGTAAAATCCGATGATTTAAATAAAATCATTTAATTTTGACAAAAAGTATATAATTATTTTTTTACACAACTTTATATATCGGTCATAAATCTCTACACATTTCTATGGAATCATTCGTAGTTCCAACATTTGTTGTGTACCAACATACTGGACTAATCATTTCTTTAATTTGATGCACATAGATAACTAACTTAACTTAGGTTCAGTTTGTGTTCCAACGTGTAAACTTACATGTCCCAACATATGAAATATAATACCTTCGTAATGATTTATTAGTAATAATTTAATGGAATATATTAAAAATATTTAATTAACAGTATAGTGGCTGAATAAAAATATTCACTACCCCATATCGTCGGGTGGGTGTTGTAAGAGATAGGGGAAACTGAAACAGGAAATGGGATGGGAACTCTCTTACGTCGTCACGCCACGGCAGTCTTTAGTCTACACTTTCTTACTGCTATTAACATATACCCATACTTATAAACAAATAATTTTGGTTAACTATTTATGCTGCATGAGAATATTTTTACTGATATCCTCGGATAGTGTGACATAAAGTCTATTGTTCAATATAAACTCGACACAGGCTCTGAGCAACCACGAAGTATCCTAAAAGATGAATTAATTCTAATTCCATTTTTGATATAGTACAATATCGATTTGAATGTATTAAATATTTAGCTAAAGTGCGGTACACTTTATCTGCAAACACATTTTATTAGCACTTTCTGGAAACTTTCGCCGTATATTGTAAATAAGTAAAGTAAACTTACAAGGGGGCATGACCTACTCGTTATCACCTATTTCTCTCAAATTTATAGGATATGCAGGGCTTGACTAGAAATGAAATATCCGAAGAGGAATCTCCCAGATGGCCAAGGGTATAGAAAATAAAAATGTTTCGCACCGTATGGCGTAGCAGTAAGAGCTCGGACTAGAAATTCGATGGTCGTGGGTTCGACTCCCCGTGTGTAGATTTTTTCTTTTTTTCTCAATTTTCCAACTAAGCAAAGAGGTGAATAATTTATTTTAAAAAATTATGTCCCATATGCCTTTTGCATATGAATAAATAAAATAAATTATTCACTTCTTTGCTTAATTGGAAAACGAATACTATAAAAATTAAGAAAAAGAGAAAAACATATCTACGCACGGGGAGTCGAAACCACGAATTTCTAGTCCAAACTCTTTGATTCAGGAGTTTCCACTTCGGGAACTTTAATTTCTAGCCAAGCCCTGCATATACCATGAATTTGAGTAAAATCGGTGATAACGAGTAGGGAATGCCCCATGTTAGCTAGCATAACTGATTAACTTCGGTGTCACGGGAATTTGAGATTGAGTTCCTTGAATTCAGAATAAATATCTATGTCGAAGACTTTGCCCTTAAACTATTATATATCAGTTCTATTGTCATCGTCATCCTGCGACAGTTCACTAAGACATAAGCCCCTCCCAAGGCCTGATTTGATGTGCAGCGCCTAAAGTTCAGGCAGAATGGCAGATGCTTCACGAGGAATAAAAAGATCTGAGAAGCATTTAATCGCAATGGATGATACAATTGCATGATCACTAGATTACAGTGTTAGAGAGTAAATGCTAAACAAATAATGTTACATAGTAAATTTGAATTATAGTCTGTCAGTGTGAGCGAGATTAGAGTGGCTCTCCAGCACCTTAAAAATGACAAGTCCCGGGCGAGGATGGAATTACAGCGAAGCTTCTGAAAGTGGGTGGAAAACCGGTACTTAAAGTTCCTCAGACGCTCTTCAATTTCGTCCTCCATGGTGGCACTACTCCGGAGGCATGGAGCAGAAGTGTGGTGGTATTGTTCTTCAAGAAAGGGGACAACGATATCTTGAAGTATTACAGACCGATTTCCCTTCTGAGCTGTGTCTATGCGCTGTTTTCGAGAGTAATTAAGAATCGTATCGCACGCAGACTCGACGACTTCCAGCCTCCCGAACAAGCCGCTTTCCGAAAAGCCTTTAGCACTATAAACCACATACATATTCCTCGGCGAATTGTACAGAAGACCGAAGAGTACACTCTGCCACTTTGTCTTGTGTATTTGGACTATGAGAATGCCTTTGATTGCGTCGAAATTTGGGCGGTGCTGCAGCCCCTTTAGTGGTGCCAAGTTGACTGTCGGTATATCGAAGTGCTGAAGTGTTTGTACAGTAGGGCTACGATGGCTATCTGAGTACAGAACCAGAATACAAAACCTATCCAACTGCAGAGAGATGTAAGACAGGGTAAAGTCATACCCCCAAAACTCTTCACCGCTGCATTGGAAGGCGTTTTCAAATTACTGGACTGGAAAGGATATGGTATTAACGTCAATGGCGAGTACATCACTCACCTTCGATTTGCTGACGATATAGTCCTTATGGAAGAATCGCTGGAGGACCTAAGCACTATGCTCAATGACATCAATAGTGTCTCCCAACGGATAGATCTTAAAATGAACATGGACAAAACAAAAATAATGATGATGATGACCTATGGATGTGAGACGTAGTCCTTCACTGGAGGCCGTATGAGGAAGCTCAAAGTCGCTCAGCGAGCTATGGACACGGCTATGCTCGGTGTTTCTCTTAACTTAAAAACGAGGATATTTGCAGTAGAAAAAGAGTAACCGACATAGCCCACGGATTAGTTAGTTGAAGTGGCAATGGGCCGGCCATATAGCTCGAAGAACCGACAACCGATGGGGAAGAAAGATTCTCAAGTGGCAGCCTCGTACCGTCAGGCTAAGTGTAGGGCGTCCCCCTACTACTAGTTGGAGTGACGACCTGGTAAGACATGCAGGAAGTCAATGAATGCAGGTGGCTCGGGACCGTGCTTTGTGACAGTCTTTGGGGGAGGCCTATGTTCAGCAGTGGACTTGTGAAGGGCAGTAATGATGATGATATCTAATATTTCAACATTAATTTTTTACACTTTTCTACCAATTTAAATTCCCCTAAATGAAATCTGTCAAATATTTAATCCATAGTGGCACCGCCCTGGTGGCAAAGAAAGTTGTGAAAACCCTCATTGCTTAGTTAGGTAACGTTTTCATACTACAAGACGGCCTTAAGATATATGACAAAAGATTTTAAAATTGCGTTTAAAGCAAATTTAAAATCGAATGCTGGCACCACATAATCCCCTAATCCTACAAAAAACCCTCACAATAAATATTTAGAGTTTGGTTCGACTAAGTACGCTCGCGGTATAACGACACCGCGTCCAAAATTTGAATAAAGTCGTGAATTTGCACAAGGCAGCTTTCTATCATTTTTCCACGTTTTTATTAACTAGCTTTCGTGCATGTCTGTTCGGGTCCAATTTAGTAATTGATTAAAAATGAGCTAGACTTATTTTAGACATAGCTCAGAATCGGGTGACAATAAATGAACATGAATAAAATAAATAACTAAAAGAATTTTATACTTTTTTGTCCGTATTGAAACGTGGTATATTTAAAAAAATCATACATAAACTTGTTACTTCAATGTATAGTTAAGATTTTGTTTGCACAAAGATTTCTAAGTTATGCAGTCTTACTGGGTTTGTTTTATCGCTCAACAAGCTCATTCAGGTTAAGGCATACGTTTACGTGGATTGTGGAGCGATGTAATGCCAGCATAAAAACTTAGGATGCTATTATTCTGTCTTTTATAGTGCCACGCACCGCACAAGGCGTACACCCATTATATAGAATATGTTCACCATATTCTATAATTATTAAACGACAGTAGCCTAATTATAAAGGTTAATAGCGTTACTAGTATTCTTTGAAAAAAATGTGTTGATGTCTGACATTACAAAAATTTTAGCAGATTTCAACGTCAGTTTAACTTAGCGAAATTAGTATGTGACCTTATAAACCACGCAGAACTTTTACTTTTAATTTATGGCTTCTCTTGATAAAAATTTTTCAATGACAAGTCAGTCATGGGAGTGACAAGCAAATGATAATTATATTGTGTTCTCAATTTGCGAGAGGATTCACAATCTACAACAAACGACAGATTAACCAAATTCAGCTGTAAACTATTATAATTCTAATACAGGGACAATAATTTGTTTATGGTGTACTCTAAAACTGCTGCTTCTGTTATGAAATCTACATAGTGTTATTATAGATATTTTATATCTGAACTCGGGCGAGCTTCACTTGTGGTTGTGATGTGTAAAGACACGCGAACTTACGCACACTAAAATAATGTGCATGTGCACCTACACCTACAAGTAAGACCAAGCCTACAACATCGTCAGAGAGAAATATAAAATCTTTGCATACCCTGTATGGACTTGCAAGACATCTATATCAAGTAATTAACTGTAAAACAATAATTTTGCTTCCGAAAATTAAACAGGCTTGTTTTTTTTAAGTAAATACTCTTGTGAAGGAGTAGGTTCACCCTTAATTTCTTTCCACCTAAGCAGGGGTATGTGGAGCCAGCAGAATTTAATATGGTTTAGGTGTACTCTTTTTTTTCTGTCTAGAGGTCAATCTGGGCAGGTTTTAACTATTTCTGCCATGTAATTACTGCTCTGTAACGGTATGACGGGTAAAGAGAGCCAGTATAATCACAGGCTGTGAAGCATTCCATCTTAATCCTCAGAGGTATGACAACGCATCTGTAACCTTTTTTGTTCAAAGTTGGTGGCAGTAGACGGCTGTAGCCAACTTATCATCAGATTGTTTGTCACTTCAAACAAATTCAAATTCATTAAAAAAAAGTCCTCAACACTGTATCTGTGGCATTTTTTTAAAGTCTACAAATCCGTGGACTATTAGTTTCTATATCACTGTAATGTTATAAAAAAATTAGATAATCAGTACAATAAGTCTCCTACTTTAGTATTTCACTTGAATATACAAATAACATTAACCACATTCCATTATCATCACCAAGAACTGAGAGAACTTCAATTATCCTCTCATAAATTAATATTCACAACATTGCTCACGAATGGTATTGTTCATAATGTAATGTTTTTATAGCAGTAACTTCCCTTGCAGAATTTCAAGAGCTGCTTTTCTTCGTAGGTAAGGCATGTGTGTCTGTGAGAAAGTGTACGGTGCATTCCTGCACGAGAACTCCGCGAATGTGCAGGCAAACATGCCACAGTCACTGCCGTTCATCTGTTGAGGGATATCCTGAAACAAAATCATATAAACAAGTTTAAGCCCAGAATCGATATAAGACCAAATAGCCCAGAATCGATGCAAAATAAGCAGTTGTTTTCATTAATTTAAGTACTAAGTTGAAATTACTACATTCTGTGCAAGGTACGTACAGCATAGGAAATATTTAGGACACCTTAAAAAACTGTAGTGATTTGACGCAAAAAGCCACAATGCAGATATGTCATGGTTGTAGCACGAATAGGTCGGCTCGACCGGGGAAAGCCCACGCCCTCACAGAACACCAGCGTTAAATAGCAGCTTAATGCTGTGTTTCGTATTTAGGTGAGTGTAGAGAATCTGAGACCCTTTTTACTGGAAACGAGGCATTCCATCGTAGTTCTCATGGGTGACAATGCATCTGTATTTTGATACTTAATCGAAGATAAATGTAGATGTCTATGATCCACAGTATCCACCTACCATCAGGTGGACTGTGTTCTCGTTTGTCATCTCCATACTATAAAAAAATTCTAAATGTTTTCATATTTATTTGTACAACATATTATTTTGTAAATTAATATATAAAAATGGTTAATGGTTGGTTGTTTGTTGGTTCTTCCCAGGATAATTTTTTTCTGAACCATAACCAAATTATTTTCAGTATGTATTCTTCTAATCCATATTAATTAAAACAATGTTCTATTCTATCCCTTTCGAAACCTTTTAAATATGTAGGACTGACACGAAGGGCAGAACCAAACAGAATCATAATGGAGCATTGCAAATAAATAGACACATTTCAACTCAAAATTGAAGTGAGTTTCACCTCCCAAATCAAAGGAGAAAAAATAACAAGGCGTTTTATTCATTCTCAGCCTAAATTACGTCATTACCTTAGTTCACCGAAATCACTTACCAAAGTAATTGGTATTATAATAACTTACTAGGATTCCTAGAGGAGCTCAGATGGATCAAATAATACGGAGGCCTACGACCAGCAGTGGGATTTATAGGCTGTAACGGATGGGTGGATGATATTAAAACCATTGTGTCAAGTTTGAACCACAATAGTACTGCAAGAATAATTCTGTGAAGAGCATCAACACAAATGTATACCTTTAAATTCACTGTTGTCCAGTCCTTATCATCGAAGGGCTGTCCCTTTTTGTCCTTGTGTTCATCCCGCAAATATTGGAGGAGTGCATCGAGGCAAGGCTGGTTGCGTGATCCCATACTGTCCAGGTAAGAAATACGTCGCGTTCGGAAGTCTACCAGGCTGAGGCACCAATGCACTCCTAAGTGGACCGGAACAACCATAAGGTCATGTGCAAAGATGTCCACCTGAAACATCATCAATAAAACTATAGTACATATTACTCAAGGGACCAATCTATAAAAATAAATAAAATTGTAGTGTCTGTTTGTAATGTCAAAATTACAGCTTATTACTAACTGCATATGAAAGTATATACATTACTTAAAAAAAATTACAATTTTTAAAAATGTCTGTCTGTCTGTTTGTTCCGGCTAATCTCCGAAACGGCGGGTCCGATTTTGACAAGACTTTCACTGGCAGATAGCTGATGTCATAAGGAGTAACTTAGGCTACTTTTGTTTTAGAAAAAGACTTAGGGTTCCGCGCAATAAAATTAAAACCCTAAATAACACGCGGGCGAAGTCGCGGGGAACAGCTAGTATATAAATAAATTTGAGTGCCTTGTTGGTATAGTGGTCGTAAACGTAGTTGCTGATTATGAGGTCCCAATTGCCGACGATATATTCCTTATAGCAGAATCGCTGGAGGATGCCCTCAACAGTGCCTCCAACAGTGTCCCTCAACGTGGACAAAACAAAAGTCATGTATTACGTCCATGTCACACCTATGCCGGTAGCTGTTGGGAGCACTAAGCTCGAAGTTGTTGACGAGTATGTTTACCTGGGAGAAATGGTCCGATTAGGTAAGTCCAACTTCGACCGAGAGGTAAATCGACGGATTCAACGCGGCTGGGCAGTGGTCGGGAAATTACGACACATTTTCTCGTCAGGTATACCTCAAAACTTGAAAACGAGAGTGTACAAACAGTGCGTGTTACCAGTGATGACTTATGGATCTGAGACGTGGTGCTTCACTGCTCGCCATACGAGGAAGCTCAAGGTCGCTCATCCAGCTATGGAGAGGGCTATGTTCGGGATTTCTCTGCATGATAAACTTATAAATGACGATGGCCGCAATAGAACCAAAGTGACCTACATAGCCCAACGGATTAGTAAGTTGAAGTGGCAATGGGCCGGCCATATAGCTCGAAGAATTGACAAACAATGGGGAAAAAAGGTTCGCGAGTGGCAGTCTCGTACCGGTAGGCGAAGTGGTGGCCGACCCCCCAGTAGATGGAGTGACGACCTGGTGAAACATGCAGGAAGTCGATGGATGCAGGAGGCTCAGGACTGTGCTTTGTGGCATTCCTTGAGAGAGGTCTAAGTTCAGCAGTGGACTTGTGAAGGGCTGTAATGATAATTGTGATGAATCGCCTTTCTAGGCAGGTAGATTGGCAAAAGTTATACCTATTAATTTATTTCCCCCCCATCATCGAATGATCATCTCATGGAATGTTTCTGTCACTTTCTATAGTCGATTGTCACAACAGTAATTGTAGACTGTGGGAAAATGTTGTGGAATGGTTAAACTAACGTCGTAACCAAATGTGGTAGAGCGACACTGCAACTATATTATGGTGGTAGCACAAATGAGTCCCCTCAACAGGGGAAGGACCACACTTTCACAGAATACTAGCATAAAATAGCAGCTTAACACTGTTGTTTTTATGGTGAGTGTAGATAACCGGATGTGGGGGCACGGCAGTGCTCCCGCCAAGTCGAGCAAAAAAGCGGCACGGCCGTACCATCGTTTTCTCGAAGCAGTTCAGGCCATTTTCGAAACCCTATAACTTCGTTGTGGATAAAACTAGAAGCCTGAATTTTCAGTAACCAAGTAGGTATTATATAGACTCGGTATTTTTCAAATTTCATTAAATTTGAACCAGTAGTTTAAGAATTATGACTAGTAAAAGTTTCTTAATTTTGTCAGTCACTGACTGACCGATCATCAAAACTCTAAGCCACTTCTAACAGACCTAGAAGCTTCAAATTTAGAATACAATTAGTGTTTAGTATATAAATCAAGTAAAAATTAAAATATTTTGCAATTTCGGTCCAGTTTTCGAGATACACCAACTGCATAAATAACTTATAATAACCCATATAAATATAAAGGATTACAAAGTTACATTTGCAGTGAATGAATCAGTGTACCTATATAATATGTAATGGAATAATAGGTGTAGATAGCTACCTAGATGTAACTATCTAAAAAAGAAATGTGATGCCATCAAAAACATAACTTGTAAAAAACCAATTCTCGCAACTCAGTTCTTCTACCGTAAAAAGTTGTGAGATTCATGTAATACCAAGTCGGTTAATTTATTCAGTCCCTACTTAAGGGTACTTTTGTCTTAAGTTATTACATAATTAGCTAGCCTAACAACATCTTATAGTGACCATATCAATATTAAAAATCTTTTATCTTTTGAATAGATTGACTTGGCCATCGCATGAAAACACAATGTATTTCTCAAGTAATATATATTACATTAAAATAGATTGTTTAGTGCGATTGCCAAGTCAATTTATTTAAAACATAAAAGATTATTAATATTGATATGGAGATGTTGTTAAGTTTGCTAATTACGTAATAACTTAAGACAGAAGGACCCTTAAGTAGGGACTGAATAAATTAACCGACTTGGTATTACATGGATCTCACAACTTTTTACGGTAGAAGAACTGAGTTGCGAGACTTGGTTTTTCTACAAGTTATGTTTTTGATGGCATACTCTTTTTAGTGGAAACAAAGCATTTGTTATATTAATCCTCAGAGGTGACAACGCATCAGCATTTTGATTCTTAATCAAGGAAACATGTAGATGTTTATGTGATTGTTTGTCACCCTTATTCTAAAAAAACACACTATTCACACAAATGAAGTTCATCTTGCTAATTGATGGACAAGGCTTATTTAGAGGAATATTTCATTTCATTGACATGTTTGAAATTGTAGAAACAAATGATGAAATGATAGAAATGTGACAGAACACATATTTATTTGGGGCAATTTTCATGTTTGATAATAGCAATTTTTTACCTTTCTTGTCCATCGTCGTAACCCTGCTTGTCCACTCTGCATAAGCTTGGGGTAGAAGAATGTGTTGGTTGCATATACTTTGGGTAAATCAGGACGCTCCTCACTACGTTGCATAAGCAGGTTCATATAGAAATTTATAACTTCATCATTCAGCCAATTCAGTCCAGACAGTGTTTGTAAATCTCGTCTAAATCCATGAAATACATAATAATAAAAATAAATGAAATACAAATTTTTATATAATGTTTTATTCATGCAAATTTCACTTCCACTAGAAGCTAACCCTACATCATTATGTTTTAGCTTATGTTGAAATTGAAGCCAAATATTCGTAATTCAGATAACGTGATATACATAATAAAATTGCACAATTAGTTTTCTGCATTATCAGCTGTTAAATTAAAAAGTTTTCCAAATAGAATGGCAAGTACTTATATAGGCAAGCACAATATCGCTAGCAAGAATGATGAAACACGTGAATGATTAAATCTTCCAAAAAGTTCTTGAGGACTATATTAAAAAAAAAACATCGGATTGTGGTGTAAGAGGATACCCCATCATATTTTGGAATGTGAGTTTTGTAAAATGCAACTGTGGTGTATGGCAAAAAGATCTAATCTAGTTTACACCTGGCATAAAATACAAGGATCGAAAACTGAAAGGTGTAAAATGTCTGGGATTTGTTCTAATATCCTGCGGCACTAGAAGTGGTTGATGAGTTAGATATTAAAAGTCAGCTTTCAGAGTTATACTTTAAAAGCGAAGTTACGACACCTTGGTAAGGGGTTTAGAGAGGGGCAGGAGCAGGAACGGGTGTCATCTCCCACATGAGACCTAGCGTCAGTATTGTCATATTCAAAGATTTATTTTTATTTTATTTGGGGATACTTGTTTACTTTAGACCTCTACCGTTCTAGACTCTAGGACGTTTAAAAAGTTGTTTCGAGGCTAACGGCGTGATATTTTTTTTAATAGGAGAGGGGTAAATGAGCATGCAGCTCACCTGATGTTATGTGACTACCGCCGCCCATGAACAACTGCAACACCAGGGGAATCGCAGATGCATTGCCGGCCTTTTAAAAAGGAATAGGCTCTTTTCTTGAAGGTCCCTAAGTCGTATCGGTCCGGAAAAATCGCTGGTGGTAATCGATTCCACAAAGAAGTTGTGCGAGGAAGAAAACATCTTCTAAATCGCACAGTGGTGGATCGACAATCATCCAGATGGTATGGATGGTATCGCAAGTTTTGTAGCGATGTGCGATGGTGAAATTGAGCGGCTGGAATTGGTCCGAACAATTCCTCAGAGCACTCCCCGTGGTAGATGCGATAAAATACGCAAAGAGATGCAACATCTCTACGCAGTGCCAGTGAGTCAAGGCGATCGGAAAGAACTAGGTCGTCGACGATTCGAACCGCTCTGCGCTGGATGCGGTCAAGTGGAAGGAGTCAAGGGAAGATACAATGTGAGGCCGAACCTGCGCCTTGTAAAGTTGCAGGCGGTGTGCCGGCATGAAATACTATCACGCTCTGCTGAGCACGCCAAGCTTTTTAGAGGCCAGTTTGACCTTCTCTTCCAAGTGACCACGAAACTGTAAGTCACTCGATATGTCGACGCCGAGGATTCTAATACTGGCTGAGGCAACAAGGGGAGTGCCTTGAAACTGAGGAGATACTACAAAGGGGTTCCTTTTAGCGGTAAACGCAATATTAGATTCTGCTAAGAGCAATTTTTTTCACAGTGTGTGGTTCACGAGTTTACAAGACATTACTTGCATTAATTACTCCAAAAAAAGCGGTTGATGTGACATTCAGCGAAATAGAAATAATTTTAACAAATCATTAAGGTACGTTGGGGTAATACCGGACGGATTTTCGAATAGTTAGAAGAGTCTGCCAAAAACTTTAATTTCTCGACATTCGTATACGTGAGATTTATGGAACATGGAGCAAACCGTTAATCGTTAAACGTAGTTTAGTTCTGAGAATCTTTTGCTTGTGTAAACTCAACGGTTTCTGCTTTAAAGGTGTGCGAAAACTAGACATACTTTTTTATATGCATAATGAAAAATTGGCCATTAAGGGGTAAGACCGGACTTAAATTTAAAACCACTTCTACTGCTTAGAGAAAAAAGTTTATAAAAGAGATTTGTCCTATCTTTAACGCTAAAAAACATATTTCAATATGATCTATAAATTACTAGAAACATAAATGTTCCAAACGATTTTCTCTTTTTTTGTTTCTTGCCATCCGATCTTATCCCTGATATAAAGAAATTGTAATTTTATGTTTCTCAAACTTTGTTATGACATAAGATGGAATTACTCAATATAAGAGAAAGATCGGATGCATTTGATTTTATATGGGAAAAAAAATAACAGTAAGGACTGGCGAAATGCCCTGGGATAATGCAGGAGTTAAGGAAGATATAAATATTTTAACAAAGCGGCATTTATTATTATAAATTATTTTTTAAATAATTATTATAAATTACATTTTGATTTGTAATAGAGGATAGATATAGATGTCTATGGGCCGCAGCAATCACTTAACATCAGGTGGACTGTGTGCTCCTTTGTCACCCTTATCCTATAAAAAAAATGTATTTTAATGTGTACTTAAAAGTAATAAAACCATCGTATTGTTTTATTACTTTTAAATATACAGACTTGCTAACGAGACTGAGTCCCATAGTCACTTGAGTAATCAACGAAAAAATATACACGACCAATGAAAGTTTAACAACCACTGCCATATTTGTAACAGGCAAAGATCGGATAATATTCATCCGATCTTCACTCACGAGGGGAAACATCGGATCTCGGCCTACAGCGATCTTACCCTTGCATGGACCAGCTTTATTTAGCTATAACTTCATAAAAATTAGTATCCACACAAAATAATAACAAAAGAAGCCATATTCTCGCTAAAAATCGTAAATAAAAGTGATAGGGAAAGATCGGATGGACAAAAATAATACAAAAATTACATTGTTTTATAAAATGCCACGCAGCACAGGTCCCACTTGCCGGAGTGACTGGCGCGAACTGAGGGTCGGGGCAGGATGAAATGGCGTCGTGTAGCATATTGTTAGCTTTTCAAAATATAGCATAATTCGCCGGGAATTTGAATCCTACGGTCTTGCCCCATCACCGATCTTACCCCAACGTACCTTACAGCCCAAAACCTAACGAAATTTCTGTGTCTTATAAATTTTTGATAGATGATATGCAAAAAATATATTGCTCATATACGAAAACTAAGTACGGGGTGTAACTTTACTGACTTAGAAATAATGTTACGCGATAGACTGGTATGCGGTATGTGTGATGCAATGTGAGTTATTGAAACTGGACAATTTGCTTTATCAATATGTAGTTCATGCGATGTTATCAGCCGAAAGTGGAGGGCGAGATGTTCGTATGATTCAAGGCAACACAACGGGAGCTATGACTCAGTCAGAAATAGCATTACCATACAGTTCAGCGAGTGATACAAGTGAACCAATGCTGTACAATCAAGAGCAAATGTCCGCTTTTGTTACAGTTGCGGTGACCGCCATTCAGGAGAATGTCGTTTTGTAAATACAGTGTGTCGGTATTGCAAGAAAAAAGGACATTTGGAGAAAATTTGCATAAGTAAAAAGAATAATTCTTCTCAGCAAATAAAGTTTATAGCAAAATCTGATGACCATTTAAATGGAGTTTATTGTTTTCACATTAATAGCTGTGTTCCACCATAAGAAATGGAGTTGTCACTTGCAGGCGTACCAATCCATATGCAAATCGATACAGGAGCGATGTCGATGTCAATTATGAAATGGATAGTGTATTATTGAAACATAAAAGAGATATTCAAAAGGCACTCGGTACCTACCGTGGACATCCAGTAACAACACACATTAAACCAGGAGTTATACCAAAATTTGCAAAAGCACTTCCTGTACCATTTGCTATAAAGCAAAGAGTAGAGACTAGAGATAGAAATAGATCGTCTGGAATGGGAAGGAGTTTTACGTCCAACGACTTTTTCGGAGTGGGCTACACCAGTTGTGCCAATAATAAAAAAATCTGGTGAGATTCGTTTATGTGGAGATTACCGCAGTACAGTTAATGAAGCAACAGAGTCAGATATTTATCCCATGCCCACGGTAAATGAAGTCTGCGCTACCATAGCTGGAGGAAGATTTTTCACAAGATCTAGATAGAGCCTACACACAAGTAGTTGTGGATGATAGTACTTCAAAGCTTCCAACATTAAACATGTGCAAGGGTTTATATACAGTGCATAAGTTGGCTTTTGAAGTAAAAGTATTTCAAGGAATTTTCCAATGCTTAATAACTTCTTTACAGGCTGGCATTCCAGGAGTGGCAATTTTGATAGATGACATAATGATATACTATGTTAGAAATGCAAAAAGATTAGATGTAGTACTAGGTTGAAATGAACAGGCGGGACTACGCTTAAATAAAATGAAATGTCAATTTGCTAAGGAAAAAGTCGAAATTTAAGGCTCTTCGCACACGAGTCGCAAACGTATCGTTACGACGCAACGCGTACGAGACCTGCAGTGTACTACAATCGAATCGTCGCGTAGACGTATCGTTTTGTAAGATCTCAGTTGAAATCATGGTGTCCACGGTACCAGATATGTTGGGTACTTACTTACTTATCTTCACGCACAATCCCTGACGGGGTAGCCAGAGAGAACAGATCGCCAAGTGTCACGATCCTTACATACCTCTTTCGCTTCTTTCAGATTCATTATCTTCTTCATACATGCACGTCTAGGTATCCGAGTACTCTTGACCCTACCCTCTTCGAGCAATTTGCTCACATGGTCTTTGAAAGTAAGTCTCGGTCTACCTCGACACCTTTTAATATTAACTTTCGCGCTATATATTTTCTTCACCATTCGGTCTTCACTCATTCGCTCAACGTGCCCAAACCACCGAAGCACGCCCTTATCAATTTTTGTGATAAGGTCATCTTTCAAACCTGCCATATTGCGAATCTCTTCGTTTCGCTTTCGGTCGGCCATGGTAACGCCGCACATTTTACGAAGAGATCGCATCTCCACTGCATTCAACTTGCTTTTATGCTTCTTCTGGCATACCCAGGTTTCGCTGCCATATAACAAAGTCGGTACCAACACTGCGTTATGTATTGCAAGGCGTGCACTCTTCACT